TCTGCAGCTTTTACAGGGACACACAATTCTCTTGGATTCCACAGTTATCACTTAGGATGGGGACATGCGCTTAGCTTTCCTCAGGCAACCCTTCCCTCTGCATCATTAAGCCCCAGCCTACTGGAAGCCTGTTTGTTTATTTCTATTTCTAAGCTCTTCTTACGATGTTTTTCAGTTACAGCTTCCCTCTGGTTTTTCTTTTGTTTCCTTTTGAAGAGGAACAGTTGTCTGCACTGAGGAAGTTCTGTGTCTGCCAATGCTGCTATTCTCCTTTGATGAAAAAGTCAGGCTTGATTTCGGTTCGTGTCTGGCTCGGCTACCTGCTTGTTCACAGCAGATTCAAAAACGCGCTGAAAGTTTGCAGCCTGCTGCCTTTCCTTGGCTGGGAAGAGCAGAAAGATGGAAGGGTACGTTGCATCCAATTTTTCCTGAAAACTTTCAGGCTGTGCCTCCACAAAGGGCTTGTTACAAGTGTTCCTCCACAGACAGCTGATGCCAGAAGTGATGGTGGGAAGGCTGCCGTCGCTGGAGACTTGTGTGTAATTTTACGGTAACCCCTGCCATAAGCAAAACGAGCCATCGTGCGCAGCATCAGCACAGCAATTACAGTGATGAAGGCAGCCTTGGAGGGGGGAGTTACACGGCTGGGATGGGTCCACGGGACATTGTGCTGGGGAAGGAGTTCAGTCCCCTTCCTCTCCCACGAAGCCCTCCAGCCTCCCGCTGACTTACACAGCCCGTAGCTTCTCTGAGGAGCGGCTCAGAAATCACGGGGTTGTGCTGGAAACCCGGTGCGGGCAGTACCGAAACAGGGAAACAGGAAGCACAAGGTTGTGGTGGGAAGGATGTGGGAAGGGAGTCAGGGTACCTTCAAATCACAGAGCTCGTGTCACAGCCACCGACTGGGAGAGCAGTGCTGGTAAACTTGGGCTCGCTAGTGTTCATGTATAAATTAAAAATTAGGTATATTTCTGACCAAGTTATTTTGAGGTGACAAGCCATGGTGCTCCCCTCAGAAGAGTTTCTATTATTGGTACCTTCACAGACTTTCGCTCTCTGTGAGCTTGAAAATAACAGTGAGTTCATGAATTAACTTTCAGGCAGCAAACACTCCAGCGAAAGCTTGTATTTTTAAGACAACAAATGAGGCTGTGCAATAAGCACGCAAACTGTAAATGCAAATGCACTGTTTCGAAGTGCATTTGAAAGTCAACCTAATGATGGACTTAGAGGCTTAAAGCAGCTCTTTTCCTGTACTAGTTCGAATCTTTAATTACACTCTTCATTCCCAGCAATCAGATGTGATACTGAACTAGAGAGCTTTGTAAATCATGTTATGCTGGGTTTGGTGTCTTTGAACAATCACGTATTTAGCATATTTCTGAACGACAAAGCGGTCAAAGTGCTGCTGAGCTTTGTCAAGTTAAACATGGAATTCTACAGGAAGTTTTTTAATTAGATTTCAGGCCAACAGAGGCAACCCCTAAATATCACGACAGTGCCTGTGGCTGGGCCATGCTGCCTAGCTCTGGGTGTGCCTCCAGGCTTCATTTTTTTAATGACTGACACTTCTATTTATAGGGCAAATACAAGGGAGTTGCTTGGAAGGGAACATTTCTGAATACATTTCAGTGTACACAGATTTGAGTCACAAAGTCTGTTAACATACAGTTCCTGGTACCGGCCCCTTCCATTTTATCTGGAGATAAGAGTCTTTGCTCCACCCATGGCAAAGTGACTGCCGCCGTTGCGGCACTCTGGGCTGTTCTCTCCTCTTAGCCGAGGGCCGGTGGCGTAAGCAAGAGCTTCTTCGTTGTCCCAGTGTAACTTAACCTTAACCGTCATCAAGCCACACCAGATTTTGCTTTCTGTGTTCTGTTCCTTCACTAGGGTGACATTTGAACAGGCAGTGCTGCTCTCTAGTAGCAATCAGCTAGAAGCAAAACCAGCAGCTGACTGGTACCATCTTCTTACCTTCACAGGAGAATAACCCTGGGTGGCCTGGAAGATTAGCACACGCTGCTGGTTTGACGGTGTGAAATGAGCCTCAGGCTGGTGATAGTCAAAAGTTAATGCTACAGGTGTTCAGTATCCTTTGTAAAACAGGATTGATGGTTGTAATCATTCGCTACGAGATACGCCCGCTCTGTAACCGGTAACCTCAGCCCTGTGTCCCCAGCTTAAACGGGCGCCTGTTAGTGCAGAAGTTGTGTTGTTGGCTCCCATTCTCCAGTCGAACGGAGCATTTCACCCTCCAGGAATGCAGTTCTGTCATCCTCCGGAGACTTAATTGGCAAAAAGTGAATGGAACAGGGAGAAAATGTGTATTAGCTGCGGGTGCCTCAAGTGCTAGAGGAAGGACTTTGGTGTTGATAAAAGAGAGGGAATTGGAAGACACACTGATGTTGTGGTACAGACCCTGTGATCGTGCAGGTGCGTGCTGGCCTGCCGTGCGGGGTGGTAACATTTTTTGCATCTTCTTGAAAATTGCTGTCTTTTGCAAAGGATCAGTGCTCTGTGAGCTACTAGTCAGGCTCCTTCTGGGTATTATGGAGCTGCCACAGGCAATCACTGAAATGGATCTATAGATTGTTCAGATCATTCGTGCTCATCCACGGCTAAATGAGTGGCAAACAGCAGCAGCTCCCATTTTAAGCTGACCTGGGGAAAACCAGTGGGAACTCCCCACATGCATTTGGGATCCCTCCATGCTTTTTTAGAGAAGATAAATCTAAACACTTTTCACATTTTGGAAAAAAACTGAATTTGAATTTCAGACTTTCAATGTACATATTCCTTTTTGGACTCTGGGTCACCTTGCATCCTTGGATGAGACATTTAACTGTTCCAAGTCTTGTCCTCCCCATCACTAAAAGGCAGGGACTGCCAGCCCTCTGGGAATGCTATGTGAAGTGCTGACAGTTCAGAACTAAGGAAAATACATTTTTTATAAAACTTTTGGAGGTGGCTCATGTAAGAATATAATCAAACCCTGACAATCCTTTCCAGAGATTATTCAGGCATCTGCCATGCACAGAAATACCTGGCAGAATAAAATTCACCTAAGTCCATAAACCTGATCCCAGCAGTAACTCATGCAACCGGTAACTGACCACTTCTACGCTGAAGAATCTACCACCACATCGCATTAGAGATGAGGGAGAGCCTGGGCATTCCTCACCCCTCCAACCACACATGGCCAGATGCTGAGCCCCACCTGCCAAAAGGGCTTCCCCAGCTGCAGCATGGCCCCTGCCATGGAAAGGGTGGCCGCCCTTGCCCTGCCCCTAGAAAGATGGGATCATCAGGCATGAACCAGACCCATGTTTTCAACAAGCATGGGAGAAACAGTCACTGACCATTTTAATTGTCTTGGTCATAGGTACAGGCACCATCTAAAAGGCAACGCTGCCCTCTCTTATGTCTTCAGCTACTCACTCACGCACGGCTGTGTACGCAGAACCAGCTACTCCCATCGCAGCTTGGGGCTTGGAATTAGCCTCAGGCAAATGACACGGAATAAAGAAAGCAAAGCCACGGAATAAAGAAAGCAAAGCTGGCTCCTGCGAGGAGCTGGGCACCTTCCGTTCCTAATGAGCTTCAGAGACTTAGAGAAGGCGTTTCGCATCCCGTAAGGACAAAGTAATCTACTGTGAGCTACTGTAATTAGTTCTTCAAGTCTTAACCTTCATCCACTGCTTTTTCACTATACGAATCAGGTATTAACATTTAAATAAAAATCAATAGGTTCACGTTGTCATTTCGTATTAGTAGCATCCAACTTCATGGACTAAAACTAGATGAAACTGATTTTGTTACCAGTTTAGAAGTTAACTTTTATTTTAATTTTTATTTTGGAAGTTAGAAGATAGCTTTTATTTTAACTTTATTTTGGTGTGTTATCTTATTGATGATTTCAATACAGAAATTTCAAGACAATCATGAGTCCAATGTAATCATTCTGTATAAAAGTGTATGAGAAATACGTTTTAAAATGAAAATGTGTATAACAACATATTATCTCCACGTGCCCATTTTTAAAAAGAAATTAGAGAATTAACAGAAAAAAAAGATTATTCATATTAGGCCTGACTCCAACACTGGTAATCAGATTGACTGTTAAATAGCTCCACAAATACTTTTCTTGTACTCAGCTGAAGTACTTATGTAGGCAAATACTGCTGGGCCCTGGCAAAAGCGGGGGAATCTGGGCTTCTCTGATTCAAAGGTTTATTATTAACAAAATCCTCAGTTGCTCAAACTCAGTTTCAACCGAACAGTCACACTACTAGTCAGAGAAAGGCACACATATGATAAAGGAGAATGAAAAAAGCTTATTGACGTGTTGATAGACAGCTGATAAGGAAAACAAAAACCCACTTGAAAAAAATAACAGTTAAGTTTTAGTCGGAGTCAGAAGCAGCATCTGGTCTCTTTTCTCTCCCGTCACCAAGAAGATGTTTGCAACGATGCTGGAGATATTTCCAATTCTAGCCATCCTTACAGGTAAGAATAACAAACAGATCAAAATAGCACTGGAATAAAGGAACTTGTTGAGTAAGAGAGTAGGTGATCCTGACTGGCAAACTAGGAGAACATTCAAGATTTATTTTAGGATGGAATGAAAATCAGGGCTATGATGGTATGCCATTTTGTTGAAATCAGCAAGCTGACCGCTGACTGGTAAGAGATTTTTCTTCAAGAACAGAATTCTAGCTTTGGTAAGTTAATGTTTTGCTCTAAAACCAGGCAGAGGCAGAGAGCTCTCACGTAGAGCGTTAGGGTCTTTCAAGTATTTCAAGGTTAGGTCTTCTCACATTCGGCTTTTGTCTCCTCTTGCTAATAGGACTGGGAAATGCTGCCTCAGTCCCACCCCCACCCAAAAATTTTGGGGGACGCTTAACTTTAAGCATGCAAATAATCCTTTGGATTTCCTTGAAGTTAAGTGAGGACGTAATACTTTATGGTATCTAGGAATTATACGGTATATTAAAGAGTATATATTATTCATGTTTCAAGCACATTTCGTTGTGCTAAGCTTTATTTTTAATATATACAGAAGTAGACATTTGAAGTCTAATGCTCCACGGAGATGAGCAACCTCTGTACCCACTAAAGAAAATGGAAGTTAGATTCCACATTTTCTTTTCAAGATGGAATTATCTGGTTTGGATTCCAGAGAAGTAGTTTAAATAGTGGCTCCTCGTGTATCAATGTTCTCTCTCTCACACGCACATAAACCCCACAGATTTTTGCCTTAGAAATTAAAAGTAATTCAGCGTTAGTACCAATACTTTCAAAACCATGTCCTCTAATTTTAAAGTTCTGGATTTAAGACTAGCAGTGTGTCCATACGGATGTGCGCCACTGATTGGGGTTTTCTGTGGTGTCTAGGAAAAGATCAGTAAATTTGGATTTACTTCGTGAGCGTTAAAAACTGCATGGGATTTCAGTGAAAGTGGGAGATTCCCAATTAACTGCCATGACTTTCTCTGGTCTTACTGTAATATTGATGAGTAAAAGACATGGATCAACTATTTTTAACAAGTTACGGTCCTGTTCACACTAGCTTTTTTTGCTAAATTACTTCTTATTCATGCGCTTTTTTAAATTGAAACCAAAGGGCCTGTATGTATGAAATGGGATTACAAGTTTGAAACCATAAGCAGTGAACTAAACGCAAAGCAAAACTCCCATTAACTTCTGTGATGAGGGACCCGGCTCTGCACATCCAGTTTGTCCCATTTTCAGTCAAAAGCTCCATCTTCCAACTAGTGATGGCTTTAAACAGCCTCAGTGGACAAAGGAAGTTGGCTATGTTTTTGCCTTATATTTTTACTAGAGCAAAGCCTATTTCAACTAAATGTACTTTTTCAAAGTACATGGCTTCATGGAAACTAGAATGCTTTGTGGAGTTGTTTCTGCTAAAATGAATTTCTTCTGGAAGAGCTTATAACAGCCGGGCTCTGCGGCACTCCTGACTCCAGAAACAGAGACTAATAAAGGAAATATGTGGAGCAGATGACTGGAAAACGGATACTTTCAGTAGAATGACATTGTGTTGAAAGCCTGTAGCTTTAATCTAGCGAAGAATAGAAAATAAACACATGTAAACCTGGAAGTATTATTGTGGCAAGAAACTATCATCCTCTGGCCAACTCTAATTCTTAAAGCTGAGAACAGTGAACTTAGACATCTGAAATAATATTATACGGCTTTTATGCTAGATCTCAGTGACGATTAAGCTACTGTGAACTCCCAGGACAAGCAGGACTTGCAGCCAGCACTGGGATCCCCTCTGTCCCCCAAGGCAGGTTTGACACATTTAGGTCAGTCTCCAGCCATTCCTGTGAGACTATCTTCACATATAATGTAAATCCTGCTGTAGTTTAAACCCGCTAGTTCTCACCCTAGCCACCACCAACACGGAAAGTAGATTATTCCCTTCTTCCTTGCAGTGAGCTTTTACTATTGAAGCCACTAAACAAGGAAAACAGACCCCAAAGAGTTCACACTCTAGTTTCAGATAGGTTTGCATATTGTAGGCAACAGATAAATTGGCAATATTTACATGGTTAAAAATGTCAAAACAGATTAGATTTCTTTTTTAAACATTAAAATTATCTCACAGGGCTGATAATTTGAGCAAAATCCTCTTTTGGTGTTACTGGAGGTTCTGCTTAAATTCTCAAAAGCAGTACCTGAACATAAGATGCACAGACATTCCGCTGAGAAGAGTATTTTCTATGTTTTGCCTCTACATACGTAAAAATCATTGTTATTATAACACTAAAGTCTCACCTTGCCTGTTTTGCATAGAAAGCTCTGAAAGACTTATGTTTTCCATCACATTCAAACAAAATCTATTCTCCTTCAGAATCTTTTGACAGTAGTTTTAAAACTGGACCCAGTGATCTAACAAAACCCTGAAATTCAGACTTATTTTTCTGACAGCTCTAGCTTTTTTGCCGTATGTCATCATTGCTAGTAACTTATGTGGAGGACAGAAACAGATAATACTGTAAGATGGTGCTCGATTCTTTTCATTAATATGGCCATGTAGCCAAGACTGATCAGAACATTATGCTCACAAGTTGTGTTTTGCTCCCTTTCTGCTTTGAGCACAACAGAAAGGGTTGATGAAGTTATCACAGAATTTCTCACAACCCACATAATAAAAGCAGTTCCAGAAAGCTTAGTTTACCATTTCCAGTGTAAAAGGATTCGAAACGAACAGCTTCTGCATGTAAGCCCTATGCGGAGAAAGGCTGCTGGGCTCCAGCCTGGGGGAACCCCACGGTGCCACTGAGTCCGAGTCAGAACTAAGAACGTAAGAAGAGACAATGCTGTAGGAGATGGTGATACAGGGTAAAGGAGATCAGGTATCTAAAGGAGTAACTGCAAAAAAAGAGGGGCAAGAAGAGTGTAAAAGAGGGCTAGACACAGCTGCAAATGAGAGCGCAAGGCGCAGGAGAGCACTGTGAGTGCAAGAAGAAAGGTTTGGTTTAGCCACAGGCTCTTAGTGAGAAGATAAGGCTCTGCAAGTGCAGAACAAGTATGTTTGTAGGAACTCTGCTTTTTCAGAATGTTATTTGTTGTAAGGACACAGGTATTCTGGGGGATTTATTTGCTTGTTAGCTTTTACCCACTCCCAGCTTGTTATCACTGAACAGCCGAAGGGAAACTGTACTGAAAAGGAGAATGACTGGGCACGTCCTACGGGCTTCTTCGATAATGCAGGGAGCAAGGCAGTCCCGCAGGGCTCCCACGGTCAGCCCCGGCTGATCTCTCCTCACCACACTTACTGTCCACAGGCCATGTCAGCAGTGTTGTGGTGACCGTCCCTGAGAAGACAGTGAATGTCACTACAGGTGGAAACGCAACCCTCCTCTGCACATACACAAGTTCTGGACCGCTGGGAAATTTCTTTATTCAGTGGAGCTTTTACAGTGCCAAAGAGAGCCAACTGCACACCGTAAGATATTTATTTATTATTAATATGAAGTTATGTTTAAGATATCTGTTAAGTCCTCAAAGAACCTTGTTACGTTTGATAGTGTTACCCTCACTAAGGACCAGGGAGGCAGGTAATGTCGGTGTTCCCACCCTAAATACAAGGGACTAGGGTGCAATGTAGTTTAGGGGCAGATGCACAAAGTTATCTAGGCTCCTAGTTCCTCCTGGCATGACTGAACTCCTTTGGAAACTTAGGAGAAGGTACAAAAGGGATTCAGATGCTCAAACGACTTGCTCCAAGTCACACAGGAAGCATGAAGTGGAGCAAAGACGAGGTGTCCAAAAATCACATAAGCGCTCCAGACGCTGGACCAGTTCCTTTTTCTCTTGTCTGGCAGATATTTCCTGCCATTGTGAGGGCTGCTTTCCTGGTGAGACGCCCTTGCCCATAACGATGTGCCCCCCATTCAAGGGTCAAACCAGAGCTCCTTGACTCGGCCGCAATCGTTGCTGTTAGGCGGCTCAGTAAGAGGAGCGGTGCACAACAACGGGCTATCGGCGCAAAGAGACCAGTGAGTATTTTGGCAGGACTCTGTAGAAATTTGTCATAGCAGGAAATCTGCCACAGCAAGCTTGTGTTGGTATTTCACAGCACCCAATGGGTGTCTTTGTGCTAGCGGAACAATTACGGATCAATGGCAAATGCTCCCTGCCCTTCCTGAGACCCCGAGAGGCAGCAGAGCCAAAGACTATCTCCCCCGGGGGTACAAGAAGACGGTGTGGTAGGTTGGGGTATCAGCACAGAGATGGTCATCAGGACTGTGAGGGACACCGAGTACTGTACGGCTACGTGCTGTAACCACTGCCCGCGCCTCTCGTGTGGCTGTAAAGACCTTGCAGAGCAGCCTGGTCTGCCTGGAAGGAGCCAGGGATGGGATGTGTAACTTCGTACTCACACTACTGCCCAGACTTCAAGAGCTATCTGTTAATCTTATGTTTTGGTGGGGAAATGAATCCATGAATCTAACTCCCAGCATAACATGCAGGGTATGCGTTCCCAGCAGCTCAGCCCTGTCCGGTGCTGAGCAGTCAGCAACACCTTCCTTCGTAAGAAGAAATGCTGATTAAAAGTGTTACTGCATCTTTGAAGATGACTGTGATTTTTTTTCCATGCCCTGGTGTCGGGCTTGTGCCTGTTAGACAATTAATCCCTTTTTTCTCCCATCATTTTTATCCCGTGGCTATCATTTTTTCCTAAAAGTTCATTCCTCCTGCCTGGTGTTACACCTGAGAGTTGATGTAAAGAGATTTGATTTAGAAGACTGTCACAGTCCACATGAATGATATTCTTGTCATGTTCACCGATTTCCTAACAAGATTATGTTAGGAGGTTTGCCATTGCTGATAGAGTTATACCTTCTATTTGGTTTATTGATTATAGCAGAATTAGACTGTCTGTAATTTGCAGAATGTACAGTATGTAACATATTTGGCATTGAACGGCAATAGCCGCTACGTAAGAAACAGCAATTTAACGTAAGACAGAACTGCTCACCCTCCTGAGGTATATCACAGCCACAGATAAAGACTGTATCAGTGCTAGGTACAAACACTGGGCCCACCCCAAATTCTGACTCCAGCTCAAAGCACACCTTGCCTGACTAATTGTATGAGTAGTTGTTAGTCATCATTTGCTTTTTTCAAGTCAAACCTGTTTTATTAAATGAAGAATTATTCATGAAAGGGCGGTAGCTGCAGGTTTTCTAAGTTGTATATAGTACAATATGTTATAATTTTGATCTGGTACGTTACATGATAAATTTTAATCACTTGTTCAGGTGGGAAGTACAGCACTACCATAGGATCAAGCCCATCTTCTCCAGATTTGGTTAGGGTCTCTCTGTTTTACTTGCATCATATTTTCCATATTGCAAGACAATAAATACAATAGATTTTCTGGTCACAACCAAGAGAAATAAGTAGATTGTAGCTGCAAGTATTTTAGAGGGAGAATCAGAGAGTTTCAAGAGATACAAGAGGGGAAAACCATTTGTAAACTGCAACCAGTGATGAGAAAATACCCCCTGAGGATTATAATCATAAAATACTGTGGGTGGCTGACAATGCGCTCAATGAGAACTAGCTGATGTGAGGCTACCAAGTGTCAGGGAAACCTTCTAGATCAACCCCTTCAGCACTCGCTCCCGGCTTCCGCAGCTGCCACTGCGGGCAACGGGAAAGCTGTGCCCATAAGGACTGTAAGAAACGCTACTGGGAAAAACTGCGTCTGGTTTTCTCCCTATCTGCAACTAATTTCATGGTAAATTCACTTTCACGCTGCAACACACATGCGTTCGTAACGGATGATTTGCATTTTCATTAAAAAAAGACGATTCAATCTGGAAAGGCCACGGGTTAGTGACTAATCCCGTTCTCCTTGAACACTGAGGTAAAACTTGGTTTCGCCGCAGCCCCGGTTACCCTTGGCTCGCGGGCTCGGCGAGGCTCGGAGGACACCCTTCGCTCCTCTGAGCCCGCTGATGTGCTTGCAGGGTGCACGTGCGTGAAGCGCTGCAGGACGGGGGCACTACTCTTTTTAATCCTGTATTACTTGACCCTGTATCCTGCTACCACAACATGGCGATTCCTCACCATTTTGAACCCATTCACAGTAACGTTAATCGTGTTAATGCAAACACTGGAAGAAAGGACTGTGACTGCTTGTGGAAAACACAGTGTAAGAAATTACACAACACAGTTGAACATGGAATTAGATTTTCAACCTCCCTCTGAACCCACAGCAATGCAAAGTCGGTATTTCTATTTCAGGCTGGTGACTTTTTGGAGTTTCAGGAAGGACTGAGTGCCTGAAAGCATGCATGTTTTTCTCCTACAAGTTTAAACAAAAAATAATCTGTCTTTCTAAAAACCTGGCTTTACGCTGGTTGCTTGGCATGTAGCTCAAGTTAAGTTTCACATTTTGTTCCAAGTAGGAAACATATGCATGGCAATGGAGGAGGTTGCCAGCTTTGGCTTTCATTGTTTAGATTAAAGAATACTAAAAATCAAGTAAAAAATGTATTTAATATGCTGGTAAGATGACAAAACCAACTGAATTGAACAGACTGGAACCATACCTTACTGAATATCAGAAAAGTAGCTTGCATTTTAAGTGGGATAAAATTATTTAATTATGAGAGATACTTAGATTCTTCCAAAATGTCAGTAATAAACAAACAAACAAGCAAGCAAACGCTTTCTTATAAATAGCATACATTGTCCCTGAAAAAGTTTGTTGAAAATTCTGGCTTAGTTCAAAGTTTGCCATTTTTTTCAGTAACTAGATGTAACTAAACGGATAACATTTTCAACTTGTTTTTTAAAGCAGAAAATTTCTGCCAAATATTTTGAAGATAGAAGACTTAAAATTTTTCAGAAAAAAAATGCAGAAATAATATATCTTCTTATCCTACCTGCTACAATTTTCAATATTCCTGACATCTTAGTAAATGTTAGCTGTCTTGATGACCCTATTATTCACATGGCTGGTATATTTGCAGTAATAAGATTAAGCAGGGGGGATGTTCTCCATAACAATTATGAGGGGGGAAAAAAATCTTGATTCTAATAAATAATGTTTATTTATTTACATAATAGGGAATATAGCCCTTTCTCTCTACAGTGGTAGCAAATAATGGAGCAAATGGCAGGATGTTAGAATTAATTAAGGCAAATTTATGTCACTGGGATGCTTTTGGCTTGAAGCATTAATGAATGTGAGCTTTAAATTACTAAGTTTTAGTATATAAATACGCATAATAATTACATAATACGCACAGAGGCCATAGGTACCCTTTTTAATAAGAATGTCAGTATTTTACACTGCCACTTAACGTTACAGATTTTGCAGTGTTTTGAGACATGTATGCTCAGGTACAGTCCTGTCTGGAGTGAAATCACTAAGATCAGGATTAGGACTAGTGCCAGGGTTAATTTAATGCCCCAGAGTACTCAGCAACAGATTTTACCTTGCTTCAAGGTGAGGCCGTGCTGGTCATTACTTGGCGGACCTGATGCAGATCTGCCCCCCAGCACTGGCTTTGTGAAGCTGGCTGGTGTCTTCTGCTGTTTGTTCTGGTGTTTTCATATCCTGTTCCGCATTGCCCACCTTACACAACGCTGGTGCAGGTGCTCGACAGTTAAAAGTCATGGCAGTTACACCGGAGAGGATGAAATACTGCAAACAAGCTGTTCACAGATAGTATGATGAAAAGGGAGGCAGCAAACAGCGGAATGGCAGGTGTTCGCGGTGCTGTTTCGAAGACAGTGCAGCTATATATAGTGTGTGAATATAGATATTTTTCCTAATTGGAGCCTAACTCTGCTCTTTTCCTGAGAAGTTTCTCCAGTGGAAGTAATTTCCCTCATTTGAACTACATAGTGTAAATATCAAGTCATGCAAAACAGGATGCCATATGTATTTTTCACTTTTTCTTCTTGCCATTTACCCCTTAGCAACATGTCTGTCTAACGATAAATGTCATTTTTAAATAATAACTCCCACCCAAGGATCTTGAGAACTTTCCAATACTGAACTGTATCTATTTTACATATAGACAAACGGAGGCAAACACTACTTATTCAGCTCACCCAGGGTAACAGAGTACATCACAGCCTTGCCTGGTTCATACCGTAAAGTCTCAACTCCTGCTAAGGTCTACATCTGTGCTTCATTTCATGCTCTGACTCGCTCGCTCGCCTTGGTGGCAAGCACTTAAGTAAATGTTTGAAAGATTGAAGCCTGCTGTTGACTCTGCACAGGCGACGCTACAGCCTTGCAAAGCTAAATACAACTCCTGAACCTAACCAGGGCCACACCTTGAGCCTCCAGCCCAGGCCACCCACAGTTAAACTAAGTGGAATTATCAGAGACACCTCATGGCTACCCAAGATATTCCCAGGGCAGAATTCTGGATAGAAATTTTCATTTCACTAGATGAGTAAAGGACATGAGTGACT